GGGCTGCGTAGCCCGCGCGCGTCCGAGCGTCTCGGATTCGCTCGGCGAGACCCGCGCAGACCTGGGCGGGGCGCGGGGCGGGGTCTCTGCCGAGGCGGCTGCCGGGAGGAGGGGGCGTGAGGACCTGCCTCCCCCCACGTCGGTGTCGTCGTGGAAACCTCAGGCGACAGGGTCAGTGAAGTGGCCCCAGCCCCAATGGCCAGCTGCAGGCGTGGCTGCGTGTGCAGTTTTTCACCTGTATCCCGACCCCCATACACACACCGTTTCTCCTGCAGTAATTTTAAAGCACCCGGCAGACACACTTCACCTTTGATTGCTTGAGTCTATCTAATCCATAAGGTCTGCTTTTCAGACATTCCGGTAATACCAGGATCACACCTGACAGAAGTACCCAGTCGGGTTCAGTTTTCCCCGACGGGCTCACGACTGTCTTTTGGCAGTTAGCCTGTTGAAGCCCAGGTCCAGGAGGAATGGGAGACTTTGGGGAGGGGGTGGCTCAGGCAAAGCTCAGGGCAGGGTTTGCTGGAAGCCTGGTCAGGGTCAGAGCCAGAATGTGGCCTGACCTGAGGGGTAGGAGGTCAAGCACAGCTAGAGGCCAGACGGTTAACAAGATTCCGTAAACACTGCACTGTATTACTGCAGCAGACACAGAGATTCTCCAGGGTCACCCGCTTCCGGGGATCGGGCGGCCTTCTGGACCTGTGTCTGGTTTTGGAATTGCCTGCGCCCTCCCCAGGCACCTAGGCTTTAGAGGGCCTCTCCTGCCCTCTGCACGGGACAGGGGTCGTGTCCCCTGGGCATCAGTAGTCCTGCTCTGAACTTCCTAGACTGTGCTGCTCCCTGGGGCCTGGGAGGTCCCACTGCTCCAAGCCCCTTCCCGAATGTGCGCCCAGATCAGCGCTCTGGAGAGAACACGGGTCCGGGAACACGGCCATCCCTTCCCACAGGGCCCCTTGGAAGCCAAGGGAACCCCCAAGTTGCTGTGGGGATGTATCTGTCAAGGCCGGAAACTAGAACGACTCCATTTTACAGTTTGTTTTCTTTGCGGTTCTTATGAATTCAGACACATGGTTTGTGGGTCCCATTTGTACTCTTACCCTGCGTTCAGTAAATGTTGAGGTGGGGCTGTCTTGTTTCAATATAGTTATGGGCACAAGAAATATTTCATTTCATTCTTAACTTTACTGCAAGAAAAATAAACCAGCAGAAGCATAGTGATAAATGGCAAGAGAGTTGACCTCAGCAGTGGAAGAAGCTCGAGAGCGTAGCACTCTTGCGAAGGGGCAGCCCAGCTCCAAAGGACGGAGGCCACTCAGGACACAGGACCCACGCCTCGAGGCCTCGGCAGGGGCGGGCGGCCTGCATCAGTTCCTGCAAACTGGCTCCTGCCCCATTTCCATCCCCTCATTCACAGGCATTTACAAGGGCCCAGGGCCTTGGCTTGGGCATCTGGAGAACTGGCCGGATTCTAAGCAGTGAGCAGCTTTTGCAAAGGGCTACTCTGCCAAAGCTGAGGTTTGGGGATGGAAGTTTATTTAAGATACGTAGACACAAAAGACGTCTGTAAATGTTAAAGTTCTGGACAACGTTAGGGGATATTAAGGACTGAATTTTAGCCTTCCAGACTTCCTATGCGGAAGCCCTAATCTCCAAAGTAACTGCATTTGGAACAGGGTGTATCAGGAAGCCATAAAGTTTATATGAGGTCACAGGGTTGGGACTGGACAGGACTGGTATCCTGGCAGAAAGAGGAGGGCATATGAGCTCTCTCGCTCACTCGCTCTCTCTGCCCACAGACCAGAGGCTCTCTGAAGACCCAGCGAGCAGGTGGTCGTCTACAAGCCAGGAAGAAAACTGGCCTGCAGGCACTTTGGTCTCAGACTCCCAGTCTTCAGAATCAAGAAAAACAGACTCCTGTTGTTTAAGCTGCCGGGTCTGTGGGTACGGCAGCCCAAGCCGACTGAGCTGGGGGATTAATATTTTCACAGCAAGCTGAATTTAGGGAAGCCATGAGCCTCAGTTCTCTCACCTGTAAAGCGGGGCTAGTAGGGCCCACGTCATAGGGTTGAGGGCTCAGGAAGGGCCGTGTGACACCCTCAGCACAAGCCCTCCACCCTCGTGCAGAGGGCTCAGCACAGGTTTGCTGCTTCTGTGTTTGCTGCTGCTATTCAAGCCCTGATGGGTGGGTGGGTGAACCCAGGCACGCAAATGGTCCACCGGGAGATGTTGGGGCACAAGGAGGGTCTGCCAGTGAGGTCGATGTGGGCACCCAGGCAGGCCTGACCCTGCCCACACTTTCCTCGTGTCTGTCCCAGACGCCTGCTGCCACTCGGCCACCATGGCGTCCACCCTGTGATCCTGACGAGTCCTCGTCTTCCAAATGGCCTTCAGTGTGGTGGCAGCAGCCCTAGCCCAGGGCCTGCCCAGCCCTCCTGCCCCTCTGTGCCCACCAGGCCTCAGAGCTGGTGGGCAGACCTGCCAGGCAGAGGCCCTGGTGATGGGCTGGCTACACCCGGCCTTCACCTCTGCATGGAGGGGCCAGGTGCGGCCCAGCCCCACAGACTGACCCCACAAAATGGCTTTGGAGTTTAGGGCCCTTGGCCTCGTCCCACAGCAAGCCCGCCTGCCCTGTGGTGCCACTCAGCCATCCCTCCAGAGGGCACGGCTCAGTGAGGTCAGCCTCTGCCCGGCCCTGCCCCTCACAGGGCTCTCTGCACTGCCGCCTTGGCCTCCCGGGGACTGTCGAGCACACGCCCCGGCCCCCTTCCTCGCACCCCTCCACACCCTCAGCTCTGTCACTGTGCTGTATTAGGGTAGATATTTTTGCCTCTCAGACTGTGAATTCTCCCAGGGACTCTGTGGGCTCATCTCCGGATGCTTGGCTCTGAGAAGAGACCCTGAGAAGACCTTTCCTCAGCAGCAGCAGCGAGGAGCTCGTGCAGGAAGTGGTCCCAGGAAACACTGGTAGGAGGGTGAGCAGGGGGAAGGGGAGGGGCAGTCAGTAAAGCTTCAGGGTCAACCTCATGGCCACCGTGGGCGCCTGGAGCACAGTCCTGTCCTGCAAGGACCTCAGGGGGCCTCAGAGATACCCCACCCCAAACTGGTGGGTGTGCAAATCTTTATGTGAGGGCTGCTTCAGGGACAATGGTGCCCTGTCCCTTCAGGCCCGATGCACGGCAGGCCGGGGGGCTGCCGGCTCTGTCCGCATTAAGAAGTCAGGCAGGTGTGCAGGGGTCTGGGAGAGAGGGCCGCTCAGCATACAGAGGAGTCTGCCGACCACAGGGATGAAAGTGTGATTTCCAGGCACCTGCTGTGGGTGCCGTGAGCTTTCTGCTCATCATGCTGAGCCTATGAGCTGACAGTCCCCGTGCCTGTTTCATGGATGAAGAAACTCCCAGCGCGAGTTTGCCCAAGGTCACTTGCCCAAGGTCATGTTGTGAGAGGCAGAGCTGGGATTCAAAGTCTGTCCTGAGTCTAAGATGCCCCTTTCCTCCACGTCCAAACGGAGGTGATGAGTGAAGGGCCAGGCTCTGATTAATCCAGGGGTGGCTCTATGGGGTATCTGGTATTTAATTCTTAATACCATATTTCCACGTGAAACAGTGAAATTCCAGGAATGAAACATGTCTCTGATGATAATGAAGACGTTTCAAGATCCCTCAGGGCCAGCCCCTCACTGTTACCCCTTGGCACGGGGTGCCCCAGGCCTGGCCCTCCACCCTGGCCTGCCCCACGTGGCAGAGGCCAGCCTGTGCTTCGCTCACCCACACAGAGGCCGGGGGATCACGACCCGCTCAGGGAGTTCTGCAGGGAGCTCACAGAGAGCCAGTGACAATGGGAGGACCCACACTTGCCCTCCCAGATGGCAGGTGGCCCTCGCCCTTCTGCATACCCCCTCCCACTCTCCTCTCCTGCTGCCCAGGACCAGCCCTGTGTGTTCTCCTGGGACTTCCCAACACACGCTGGCCTCTGAGATGTCACAGAATCATCGTGACAGGCCTGAGGGGCAGGCAGGGAGGCACCACCCCTCCTAGTCTCCAAGGAGGAGACTAAGGCTTGCCCTTGGGAGTGCCTGGCAGGGCCGGACTAGGAAGGGGAGGGACATGCTGCCTGGGCCAGAAGACCTCCCACCGCTGAGCAGGGGCCTCCCCTCCACCGCTGCACTGCGGGGCTGGGCTCGCCATCCTCCTCAAGGCATAAGCAGGGCTGACTTACAGCGCCCGCGTTGGGCAGAGCCTCGGTGGCCTCGGTGAAGCTGCTGCTGTGTCTCCCTCGAGGTGGGGTGTCGGGGTGCCTGGGCCAGCTGCCAGGACCTGCAGGAGGGAGCAGCCCCGAGGAGGGGTGGCGAGTGTGCACCCCGCGGCTGCACCCAGCCCTCCCGACCCTTGGGGCGGGGCCACACCAGCTGCTGGGAAGACGCCTCAGGGCCCCAGACCAGGAGGGCCCGAGGTGACTGAGCTGCTGCTAAAAATAGTCCTGCAGGTTTGGCCCACTTCAGTTTGCAGAGATGCTGACAAAGGGAAGAGACGTGGGGTCAACTGTTTACCCGGCACAGGAGCTTGTCCACTGACCTTCCCTTCCCAGCGCCGCCTAAGGCCGTGAGGCCTGGGCCACTTCCTTGCTTGGAGGTTGGCAGTATAGTAAAAAGATGAAGAAATGCCAAAATGGGCTTGCAAAACCTGTGGTCCATCTTCAGTGTCAACGTGTGTGCCGACACAACTTGTGGCAAGAGACGTGCGTTGGTCTTCGTCCCGTCCCTGGCCCAGAGCTCCGAAGACCCTCGGAACTCCCTGCGATGAGCAGGGCACGGACATCTTCCATTGCACTAAGGAGGAGACCTCCTGAACTCACCCAAGGGCGGGGCGGGGCTGGCCGCCAGCGGGGCCCACGGAGCAACCAGCTGGCCTTCTGAGGCTGGGGGGCTGAATCAGTCGCTGTCGGCCAGCGACTCAGCCCGTGCAAGGCAACTCCCACAAACCCCACAGGATGTGCTGGGGGCTTCCGGCTGGTGACCATGGGAGACCGGGGAGGGGGGCGCTGGAGGTGCACGGGAGCTCTGCACCCACCCTGCGGCTCCGCCCTGCCTGCTCCCGAGTCACGTCCTTTCGTGACAAGCCTGCTGCCTCCTGAGTCAGACGCCTCTGAGCTCTGGGCGCTGCTCTAGCGGACTGACGGACCCGAGGGGGGTCACGGGAACCTCTGGTCTCTGGCCGGGGGGCAGAAGCACAGTGCCGACCTGGACTTGAGGACGGCGTCTGAAGGGGGCGGTCTCGCGGGGCTGGGGCTCAGGGTCTGTGCTGACTGCAGGTGGGCCGTGTCAGAACGGATGGAGCCGTCGGACCCCGTTGTAATGGGGAGCAGAACCTTTTAACAAGGAACACACATTAGTTCTTAAAGTACAGTGTAACGTGCTTGTGCCAGGATCGAACAATTACAGGATTTATTGAAAACTAAGCCGTGTGTACTGTGTGGTGAACGGGCACAGGCTTCGCGGGGTGGACGTGCGTCTTTCTCCCTCTGGTGGTGCGCGGTGCCTCTGCTCCCTGAATCGCCTCACTTGCCGTTGACGTCCAAGTCCAGCAGGGAGAGTTTCTGTTTTACAAGGTGAAAAGTCCTGGGGGTGACGGTGATGGGGCTGCACAACCACATGAATGGACTCACTGCACCAAACGGTACGTTGAGAGTGGTTAAGTCGGTAGATTTCAAGTTATGTGTAACTTACCACAATTTTATATTTAAAAAGTCTGTGCATTGACGTTTTTGTAAATAGAGAATTGAGGGCAATGTATTAATTTCATCTAGGTCATGTGTATAGATTGGTAATGCGATCTAAGAATCTTGTTAGAGGATTTAAAAGGATGGCATAAAAATACTTGTATAAAGTGAAGATATTGGGATGGGCAGCATTGAGAAGCATTGACGTACATTCTACCCTACTGGTTACTACTCTGGACACTCCCCAAACTGAGTTTGATTATAAATTACGGCCAGAGGTGCCCTCTCTCCTCCTGCAGCCATCAGGACCGCTGTGTAGACAGCCCTGAATTCTCAGCAGCTCCTGCGTCAGGTCCTGTCGGGCCAGCAGAGGGTTCCTGCTCCTTGGAGTCGCTCAGCGTGCTGAGCAGATAGGCTGCAGCTTCTCACATACTGCTGGTCACCCTGTGGGACTGGAAGAAGGATCTTGGCTGTTCATTAACTGCTCTGGCGAGAAGTGATACTCTTGTCCAGGCTCAGAGACACGGTCACTGCCCACAAGAAGACCAGGAGGGCCCTCTCCGTGCGTCTGGACGGCAAGGGGGACGGACGTTGGTCATGAGCGCTGACCCCCCACTGGACGCTTGGAGTCGGCTCCTTACGATGCGTTTTCAGAAGTGGGATTGCTGAGCCGAGGGGCCTTGATTGCTGCTGACAAAAGGCCTCTCAGGAAGGTTTAATACACAGTTGTTCTGAAGACTTATTCCGGAGTATTTTCACGTGCTTTGACGCAGTACCTGCAAGTGGCGACGATGTGGTTCTTGCCTTTGAAATGTGTGTGCTCATGCCCTGCCAGAGTGTCTCGGCCAAGAGCTTCCACCCTGCGAAGGAACCGTGGTGAGCCAGGCAATCACGTGCCTCGTCTGAGGACACAGCCACCACCCAGCCTCGGACGGCAGAGGGCAGAGTCCTCTTCCCCTTGCTCAGGGCATCGCTGCGACAACTGTTCCAGCACAGTTTTCTCTCTTTCAGAACGTTCCTGCCAGCACACAGCATGCGGCACCCCACATTTTTTTGGTCCTGTTTCTGCAGACGCTCTGGTGGAGCCATCTCCCTTCCATTCCAGTGTCTCCCGCTATCCTTGGAACTCACTCTGGGCAGGATTGTGTCCCGACCGCGCCTCTAAAATGGCTAACCCTGAGGTCACCAACGGCCCGCACCTGGCAGATCCAGGGGTCAGCCCTCGGTTCCCACTGGACATCCTGGAAGGCCCTCTGCACTGAGCTCCCAGGACATCCGCCTCCCACAGCTCATCATCACCTCCCCAGTCTCAAAAGAGGGCACGGCCTTGGTCGGACCTCTCCTCTGTCTGTACTCGTGCCCTCGCCAAACTCATCCAGGGTCCTAGCAGCCTCAGCCTGCTCCTCCCTCCGTAATTCCACTGCATAACTGCATCCTTAACTCACCCATGTGGCTGCTTGATGGGCATTTTGAGGTTCATGCATCCCGAACCCACCCACATGACTGTCCCTCCGATGGTCTCCCTGTCTCGCTACAGGCACGTCCAGTCCTCCAGCTGTTCAAGCAGGACGTCCAGATGGCGCCCTCATGTCTTCTTTCTCTCACTGCCCGTACACAGTCCATCAGTGAATCTCACCAGTGTTGCTTTCAGAAAACGTCCAGAAAAATCAGCCGCCATCACTCCCACCGCATCACCTGTGCTCGCACCTGAATTGGGGGGCGGCCGCCTCGAGTCTAACCCCTCACTGAGACGCCGACGCGGGCATTTCGTTTCTTAAAACCGTCTGCATCAAGGGCTTGCGCTGCTTGAAAGCCACCTGATGGCTGAGAGGCTGGACAGAGCATTCCCTGTTTCTCTCAGATTCTGTGGGCGGCGTCTGAGCTGGTGTCGGTGGTCCTCACCGGTGAGTCTGCAGTCGGGTCCTGGCCGCCTTGGCAGCAGGGCGCCTGGGAACTGGCGACACGGGGCCCACATCCCTGACCCTCTGCGGGGCCGGCTCGGGCTGGGACCAGGCGTGGCACCACATCTTTTTTCTGAGTAAGTGCAAAGCTCAGCCTTAGAAGGCTTCTGGTGAGTTCCCTTCCCTTGGCTCTTGACATGTGGATCAAGTCAGATCAGCAGAGGGCTGAGGGCTGCAGGCTCAACAGCAGGGGCCCCCACCTCCCGACCGTGGCCGGGCAGGACCCCACCTGGCGGCACTGCGGCGGGGCGCTGCTTGTCCTGGCTGCGCTTGGACGTGCGCTCAGCCCATCTCGGGCAGTTCACAGGAATGACCGCCTGCGGTTGACCGCTGTTGATGAGAAATTAATCAATTGTCAATCTAAGAAAGAAATGGACAATTTCATTCAAACCAACC